ATTTACAAGTTTAAAATAGCCAAATAAACTCCCTGTACAAAACACAAACTAGGCTCCAACAACTACATTCCTAAAGCAATAATGGATTTACCTTGTTTTGATGCTGTACACTAACACTTTGTTCCTGCAATCACCTAGGAGACACATAAGCCCCTTAATAAACAGGGTATTCTAAAATTCTTTGGATTGATACATAACCATTTTTACTATAACAGGCATACAGATTACAGGTCTGTGACTAAATATTTTGTTTTGCATGGGAAAATTTTTATGAAAGCAAATTAAAATTAACAAAGCAAATTCAAATCATGCTGAAAAAACACATCTTTCCAACTAATTGGCAAAATAACAGTTTGTATTTCTTCAGTATTTTCTTTCCTTAAATCCCCTGGAAGCTTTCCAACAAGCCAGAACACTGAAGCACCATGCTGCTGAGCCCAACGTGAATCACATCTGTGCCGCTGTTTTCAGCCTTCTAGGCTTGAACATATTGAAAGAGTCAATGTTTGGCAGTAAAGCAAATAGGCTATTTTCCTTAAAGAAAGAAAAATCTATTATTCTTGTGCTGAAGTCTGAAATCCTAATATTTACCCTCATCTAAATTATGTGTAATTGAGCACTAATATAAACCAAGTCCAGATTTCCCTCAAAATCATTGTTTCCTTTCTTAAAATAGAAGTGGAAATCAATGAAAATCATGTTTTCATTCCTGCATTAATTGAGGATAAAAGATCAGAGCTCAGTCCTTGAAGTCAAGAGATAAACATGGGAAGGGTAGCATAAAAGGGGCATTTCCACTTGTCTTCTAATTGTCTGAATCTGCACAGACATCTGAATCTAGGTAGTTGCCTGAAGTCACTTTATAGCCAGTGGAAAGAAATGAGCATTTCTAGAGGGCAATTTCTCTGACATAAAATACCATCTTTACTTGGGATACAGTAAACCAATGCATCCCAAAAGTAAGTACTTCATGAGCTTCAGGTAAAGCCAAAGGTCACACACACTGATTTCAGTGAAGGTCTGAATTTACATGTTTTCCCTTTGAATTTTAGAGATTTAAAACAGAGCTTTTCCAAGCAGCAATTTAAAATAAACAACACCACAAAATCAGAAGACGGAAGGTATGGATATTTTTTAAACTCACACAAAAGTCAGTTTCTCATTCACTAGATTTAGATTTCTCTAAATTTCTCGCTTTTTCCGATTTCTCAAAAAATATAAGCATAAATTTCAGTCCATATAATTAAGATATCCTGTATTTAGTCATAGAATATCTCAGAATACATAGATATGCATAGACTATCCCAAGATGGAAAGATCTTTGAAGTTCACCTCCAGCTCTCTCACAGGACACCCTGTGCCCGAGAGCGTTGTCCAAAATTTCCTGAGCTCGTTCAGGCTGGTGCTGTGCCCAGTGCCCCGGGGAGCCTGACAAGTGACCAGCCACCCTCTGGTGAGAAACCTTTTCCTGATATCCAACCTGAACCTCCCTGAGACAGTTCCATGCCATTCCCATGCTCCTGTCACTGTCACACGGAGCAGAAATCAGCGCCTGCCCCTCCTGCCGCTCCCGAGGCAGCTGTGCCTGCACTGAGCTCTGCCCTCAGTCTCTGCTCCAGGCTGAACACACCAAGAACCCTCTGCTGCTCCTCACACAGCTTCTCCTCAAGGTCCTTCACCATCCTCGTGGCCTCCCTTGGACACTCTCCAATGGCTCAATGTCCTTCCTCAATTACGGCCCCCTCTGGACACTCTCTAATAGCTCAATGTCTGTCTTCTACTGTGGCCTCCTTTGGACACTCTCCAATGGCTCAGTGTCCTTCCTCTATTGTGGCCTCCTTTGGACACTCTCCAATGGCTCAGTGTCCTTCCTCTATTGTGGCCTCCTTTGGACACTCTCCAATGGCTCAGTGTCCTTCCTCTATTGTGGCCTCCTTTGGACACTCTCCAATGGCTCAATGTCTGTCCTCTATTGTGGCCTCCCTTGGACACTCTCCAATGGCTCAGTGTCTTTCCTGCACTGTGCCCCCAAAGCTGTCCCAGCCCCACAGCCCCGCTCATCCCAACCTTTGTGCCAGGGGCTCACACCACGTGCTTGTCCCACTGAATGTGGCATTCTTTGTCCAGAAGGACGCTGCAAGAGACAGTACTGAAAGCTTCACTGAAATCCCAAGAGATTACATCAAGTGGCTTCCCTTCATTAATACTGGCAGTGCTTTTCCCTTTGCAGATATTATGGGAAACAGGAGAAGAAAATGTCGCCTTCAGAATGGAAAGCAATTAATAAAATGTATTATTTAACTGGTTTTATGGAAAGAAAACACTAACAACTCCAGTAGTTCATATAGAGCCCCATCTAAATGGAATGAGATAGAAGTGTTTCCAGTTTTAAAAAAAATAATATCTGTTATTAGACATAATCCATAGTTACATTTGAAATGTTCTGGGAACTTCTGTGTTTTTTCCAAGAGATATTGTTGTACCTTAAAAAATTAATTTTATTTTGCTGTAAATACTGCTTTTTAAAATTCAAAAAGAATTTTCTTTCTCAAAAAGAAATATCCTAAAATGCTGAACCAGATGAACCATTTTGAACAAACCCTAGTTTATTTGTTCATCATAACAATGGCAAATTAAGTGTTTAAGACTGAGACTCCCATAATACTTAATTAAAATTGAAGGTCAGTATCTTACTCCTGGATGATGTTCTCTGTACCTACTTAGAATATCTTGTCTATGAAGCAGTAACTCAAGTGATAAACCAAAGTCAATGTAAAGAACATAAAGTAGATTATTTGACTACTTATATCCAGACTCATTTGAATTTCTCTTTTGACCTCTTATAGAGAAGTAAGGAAGTACTAGAAGTGTAGTCTATAAAATGTGATAAACAAGAAGAGATAGATGATGAGAAGATGAGAGGAAGAATGCTGACCATCTCTGCTAATCAGTGAAATAGGAAAAACAGATATAATTTATAACTCAGAAACCTCATTAGAATAGAAACTAGCTACAGCAGTTGTATTCACATATAAGGAATATGACTTGCAAAAACAGATGCTTTCTCCATCATCTGCATTCTGCACTAAAAATGAGTCTTTAAACCCTTCTTTTTAGTTTACTGCCTGATTACCATTACAGATTTAATATTTGTCACAATTACATTCTACGAGTAAGTTCAAGCCCATTTTCATGTGAAATGCTTAGATGTCCAGCCAATTAGACATGACCATGAGCTCATCACATAAAACTTATTAAGTAGCAAAGTTAGTTCAAGTGATAATGATATTGCCTGTTGAGACTTGCTGGGGGATCCCTGAAATGGATGTTTTAATTATGTTATGAATATACTGTCTAGAGATCACTGTCCTTGTGTCTACTGGATGAAGCCCAGCAAGCCTATACAAGTAGTTCATGTTAGTTTATCTAAGGATCCAGCAAAATATGAGCAACTTTCACCCAATATAATGTTCAAATTATTTGCCTGCAGCAATTTTTCCTACAGTTAATATGCAGCTTCTAGAACATGTTTGTTAGTTGAAATGTAATTTGCTTAGGCAAAACATTCATCCTGAAAAATGTTCAGTTTTTAGCATTGGAGTATTTCAGTTTTTGGTTAAAATGAAAAAGCCACTGTACACTGTGTTTTGCCTGCTCAGATCTCTGTGGCCTCTTGCAACTCCAGAGCAGGTTTTTAATGCTTTGTGCCACTGCCCAGGGAGGTAACTGGCAAAGGGCAAAGAGTGGTTGGGACACAAGGAGCTTGAGAACAGTTTAAAAATGGGGAATGTGCTTAGGTGCAGGTGTACATCATCTGAAATCATATTTACTTTTACAAAGCTCCTTATCTTCATAGAACTTTAGCTCTGGCTTACAGAAGTGATTATGAAAATCATTAACAATCACCATTCATTTTATCAAGACAAAAACCAATCAATATGAAAAGAGAAGTCTTTTGCAGACAACCTTGGACAGACAGATTTTTACTACCAGGATAACACTGTTTTCTGCAACAGCCATACATATTTTCTGAGGATAAAGCTGGATTTAACAATGACAACATTTAATATGGACTTTAATCAGTCGGCCTTACCTCTAGTATTTAAGAAAGTTGCATTCAATTGTCTGCTCTAGTACTTTTCTTAACATACTGCTTTTGAGGTATACTCTGCAAACAGCCTGAAAATGATTCCTTGGTTTGGGATCAAGAGTCAAACATTTGCAGATGCTATTTTATGTCCTGGCTCAATTAGCATGGAAGGGTTGTGAGCAGCAGTTTTATCCTGATCCTGATAAATTGCCTGACTAAGCACACTTTTTGTACTGGCTGCAGATGTTTACCTGACTCACAGATTCATGGAATCTGACAGAGATGACTTTGAGGTCTCCATGTGTACACCTGATGTATGCAAATATAATTAATATATTAAATATAAACCATGCTGGGGCAGTAATTACTAAATTACTTTATGTTTGCAGATGTAATGCCAATAATATTTATACAACTCCCTCAGACTGTATTTTCTAAATGCTATGTGAAATTATTCTCTAAAAGTAGTCAATGATGATGATAATAATAGTAGTAACATCATCGAAAAGGAAACAGATTATTTCTTGCTGAAGGACACAATCATTAAACGGGTGAGGCTGGAAGATCACTGTTGGTCCTGTGGTCCAGCCTCCCTGCTTAGCAGGATGCTGTAGAGCACATTAGTCAGGACTGTGGTTGGATTTTGAATATCTCCAGAGAAGGAGACTCCACAAGATCTCTGAGCAGCCTGCAAAGGTCATTTTGAAATTCCTTTAATTCACACATGACAATTTACTGTGACAGGGAGGTGGAATCCCTGCACATGTGTGTGATGCAGAAGCTGTTTGCCTTCAGTTGTAGAACTTGTCCTCAGACAGGAGAGGGCTTCAAGGACAATTCACCATGGAGTATAAACACACAAGCAGACAAGAGCATCAGCAAGTGTCAAAGATAAAAGCAACCTTCTTACCTCAAGAATTCTGGCAATCTAGTATGGTTTTGGTCACTTATCTTGACTAAACCAGGCTTTCTTTCATGGAAAACTGCAGTTCCAAGACAAACAGCAACATTGATAACTAGAAGGTAGAACAAGAGAAAAAGAAAAATCACTGATGGTAGGGAATAATTATATCCTCAGCAAAGCAGTGCATGCAGCTGTAAATAACTGAAGTACGTCTCACAGAAAACCATTTTAGTATCTGCTGCTTGGAAATGAGGTGGATCTGGTCCCCTGGAGACGCTGGATCAGGCAGAAATAACCAAGCAGCTCAGAGGATATTTAACCTACAAAGCAGGCCAACCTTCACATTTTGAAAATCCCCAGCCTGATCCAACCATTGTAACACAAGTTAATTGAAAATATCAAATTTTAAAAATCCATTTTACTCAAGAATTAAGGAGGAAAACAGTGCATACTTTAATACCACATACTATTCAAAAGCATGGCAGTGCAGCGTAGGAAAACTATATTCAGCTTTATCTCTGCATCTTCTACCATTGGAGCGGTTTCTTCTCTTCTTAGCAAGGCTAAGGGATTAATGATAGGTATCCTTAAGTGTCTTAAGCCCAAAATCCTAAGGAAGGGAGAAAAACCTATTTAATGTGGCTCAAGGGGCAAGAATAATAGGATACAACAGAGCAAAGGCTGGATTTGGAAAGGAAATACTGATAATTAGATGTATCTGACCATGAAATAGTCTTCTGAGCATCCTTGTGAAATGTTGTCATTTAGGGTATTTTAAAAAGGATTAAACCTTTGGAAATTTGCTGCAAAAAATCTTTTCTGTATTCCCATAGGAAAAGACAAGGTAATGATGCAAATAAAATTTAATTATTTCAAACTTTTTTAATTCTATGATTTCTCAATTTTATTTGCTGGAAAATTATGGTTTTCTTCATAATATTTTTTGTTCTTGCATTGTTTTCCTGTCACTTCCATCCTTCTTTCAGTTTCATTCTGACCTGTTTCACTTCATTGGTAGACACCAGGCTTCTATAGTTTTCAGGACGTTAAAGTTATATATATACAAACTCAAGGTTAGCCTGTCTGAAAATTCATTCAGCAACTGAGCAGAACAAGTTGCTTATGTGTAATTTTTTTTTCTCTAAATTTCCCATTCACTTTAGCTAATTGGTATTGTCCTGCAAGATTGCATGGATTTAAACTCAAGGAGGCTGTCACAGAGAAAGGAATCTGCAAAGAAAATTTATTTTAAAAATAAAGATATATTTCAAAGAGTAAAGGAGAAGGAAGCTGCTAATCTCAAAATATCTTCTTTTGTATTCAAATATTTCCTCTTCTCTCCATGTCCTGCCCCAGAGACTCATAAATACCCTTACTAACATTGTACTAAAATGCTCTAAAGAACAAAAATCATTGCTAGCAGCACTCCTTGTAAACAGCTGCTAATATCTCAACAAATAAAAAGTTTATCACTATTTTGTACAAGTGCCTCATGACATGATTGCAAACAATATTACTGAAAAACTATTTCATAGCCAGAGAGGAAATTAACATCAGCATTAAACATTCTGATAAGTTATAACAAGATTAGCTGTAATTTAAAGAAAAGCTATTCCAGAGAAAACCATGAGGAAACACAAATAACATATTCTTATGATCTGAAATTTCTTTTCATCCTTAGCCAAAGGGCAAAGAAATTTTCCACATTTTAGCCAGACCTGAGGTTCACTTTGGGACACTTATCCTTGTTTTTATTTACATAGGTTACATACTTGGATATATCCAAATTGCACCCTACCAATTTGTAAGTTCAATTTACAGTCACACTTTCTAAAAATAGACACAAAACATGCTCATACATATATGCATATGCAAATATTTATCAACTAGAAAAAAAGAAAACCTAATTAAAAAGCAAAGTTGTGCATGACCAAATTTTAAAATAAAGGCTTATATGCAGGTGCATTCACACCACAAACTTAAATTGTTGATTTAATCTGCACAGTCACATGTGCAAAGTACATATTTCTATGTGGAAATGGCTGTGCACAAATTTAGAAGTAGTATTTAGGCACAGTTGTAAAAGCTCTGTGTCTTTTTTAATTGCCTAATTCAGGCTCTTATGCCAAATGGTTGTGAAGGACTTAATAGATTCCCAGCTAAGGAGAGCAGCATAAATTCACCAGGGGGGTGGCTTAGTCTAAAAAGAAACTGAAGGTATATATAATACATAGTTTGAAAGATAAAAATCCTCTACATGAACATGTTTGTTGAAATTAAATTGTAAAATTTGGCAACTTAGAATTATTGTGAATAATTAAGCAACTTAGAATCGTTGTGAATGTTTTTGAGTCTTATTTGACTTTTTCTTAGCTAAGCAAGTGCAAATCATACAGAATTAAACACAACCTGGAATATTGTTTTTTTTTCTTTTAAGAAATATTTGGTTTTTTGAAAGCAAAGATTTTTTGAAAGAAAGATTGAAATATTACAGATTGAATATAAAATTTAGAATAAACATATATAGGAAGAATAAAAGCACAGCAAGTTTCAGTGACTTATTTACTCAGTGTCACACAGTAGGTCAGCAGCAAAGAAATCATGAAGGTCCATCTATCCAGCCACTTTTACATCAATTTCTGTGTATTGCAAATCAGGTTTTCATCCCAAAATTCCAATCCAAAAGCCCTGGAGCTAAGGTAAGCTAACAAGTCACATCCCAATGGGATGCTTTGGCTTTGCCCATCCCTAACCCTGCCAGGCTGCTCCTGGGCTGGGCACACTGAGAGCAGCCCCTCGACTTGGAGCTGGCAAACAGGACACAGGGATGGCTGAGAAATGTTATTGCATAGGCAGAGGGAGCTGCTGCAGCTGGAACTGGTTAATCTGAGTTTGGGATGGGCTGTGATCCCATTCAGAGAGAGAAGGAGCAGTGGCAGTGAAGTGCCCCTGACCAAGAGCAGGGGCTGCCCAGAGCAGAGGTGGTGCTGCCATGCCCTGCCCTGAAGGGATCCCTGATCCACCATCCTGCAGGGATCAATCACCCACCCATCCTGCAGGGATCCCTGACCCACCCATCCTGCAGGGATCAATCACCCACCCATCCTGCAGGGATCCCTGACCCACCCATCCTGCAGGGATCACTGACCCACCCATCCTGCAGGGATCAGTGATCCACCCATCCTGCAGGGATCCCTGACCCATCCATCCTGCAGGGATCCCTGACCCACCCATCCTGCAGGGATCCCTGACCCACCCATCCTGCAGGGATCAATCACCCACCCATCCTGCAGGGATCAATCACCCACCCATCCTGCAGGGATCCCTGACCCACCCAGCCTTCAGGGATCACTGACCCACCCATCCTGCAGGGATCACTGACCCACCCATCCTGCAGGGATCAGTGACCCACCCATCCTGCAGGGATCACTGACCCATCCAGCCTTGCCCCAGCCCACAGGAAAACCCTCCTGAGCCATGACTACACCAGCAAAAATCACTCATTTCCACCATGGGGGAAATCCAGTAAATTAGCATAGGGAAGAGAAAGGAAACTCTCACACATTGGTACAGAATCTCTAATTTCCTAAGCCCTAATTGTTTAGGGACTTTTAAACTATTTAACTACTTTAGAAAACAAAAGGTGATTTTCCTTTAGGAGGGTGAAATGGATCACAAATATCAAGTTACAGCAGAGACCCTGACCCATCAAGAATAAATGAAGCTGTATAAGCATCATTAAATCAGTATTTTGGGACTGGTGTAGAACATGTGTTTTTCTTTCAAAAGGACATAATTAAATAAAACAGCATAAGAAAATCTCCTGGAACACAGTGTGTGTTACTAAATCAGAACAAGGGATTATCTGCAGCCACGCTATTTGATTAAGCATTAACAAGGAAAAACAGCTTTTCAGTGCCCAGTGATAAAGATTAATCCAAATAGAAGCTCCCATAAAGAACAATAGTCCAACAAAACCCTTATTGACCAGTTTCAGTCAAGCAGTTTAATCCAAAAGATGCAGGGGAAACAGTAAGAAAATATACATTTCTAAGATGTGGAATACTTCAATAGATCTTGAACTAACCAAATTCCTATAATCTTATATATTTTATTAATATTTTACTGGAGAAAGATAGATGCTGGACTTTAAAGACGCTAACACAAAAATACTGATACCTAGAAAATATTTCCAGGAGGTCTCTACTGTTAGATACACACACACACAAAAAGGTGAATTAAATGATCACAATCCAATCTTTGAAGTCTCTCAACAAATGTAAACTTCAGTGAGTACAATTCATTAAAACCTAATTACAAAAAAAATCAATAGTGCAATTTAGCCCAACCCAAAACTTATTGTAATGTACTGAACATTTGGAAACTCAGGTCTTTATGAACAGGGCTGAAGTGATATTTTATACTACATTGCAGAGTGTCTCTGTAAAGCAATTAGCACAGGCTGCCTGCCTTTACTCAGAAAGGATTTTACAATGAGTAACTCTCATAATGGTGCATCTGCAAACACCCACTCTCAAGGATGCACTGAAAAAGGAAATGACTACAAACAATAGCCTTATAAACCAAATTTAGAAGAAAAATCAACTATCATACCCCAAATACATACTCTTCAGACTATTTTTATTGCTGTTTGGGGAATTAAATGGCCATATTTTGTTTTTAATTATCTACCAGGAAATCCACTGACAATGTTAGAAAAAGTATAGTCTGGCCTATAGACACTTTTTTTCAGGGGAATTGGACAGAATTGTTTCAAAGTGAAAATAATCAGCTTTTACTATATTTAAATATTTAAAATTTATAATATTTTCAAAACATTATAAATGTCCTAAAATGTAAATAAACCACTACTATAACGTTTTTTAAAAATAAAATATGATTGAATAGCATAGAAAGATAATTTTGCATCACAGATTGCTCTAGAGGGCTCTGAAACCACACATTCTGACCAGTCTCTCCTAATGTTTGAGTTTATAATTTTAATCCATATGTCCTTCTCTCAGACTAAAAGAAATGATGCCACATCAGCCCCAAGAACACTGAAGCCACATGAGCACTTGTAAGGACCAGGTTCTTGTCAATGC